TGAAGATCTACAGAGAGCTTTGGCAGTAACACTTATCTGATTAACCCTGACAAACTGAGCATTTAGTCAGCAATCCAAACTAAGAAATGGCTGATGGGCCCTTAAACTTAAATCTGCTGCCAGAGGAGTCAGGGGTAAAACGCATCAACGCGTAGAATCAAAGCTTTTTGTGAACTACTGTGTTTCCTGTCACTGTATAGAAGATGCACAAGGCTTGAATGCACTGCTCAAATTGGTAAGAGTTTATAATTGACTTTTTAATCAGAGCAAAGACAAAACACAACTGATGTGAGACTTCATGCTCTTGTTCTTGCTCAAAAAGTCTTTTTGAAAGTCTACATATTTCCAACTTCGATCTTCACATATCATATAAATGAACATGTCAATTAAATGCAATGACATCACTGAGAAATCATGTTGTTATTAACCCCTTAACATTCCATGCTTATTACATACTAAGGCTTATTATTCATTAACTACAGGGATGCAAACTAATGGAGCTATTCTTAGGCCATAGAAATATGAAATAAAACCATGGGACCGCCGGCAGGCCCACGGCTTGGTAAGGGGTTAACAGAAGAGAGCAAATTAAACGGCACAAACGACCACGTTTTTGCATGTTTCAAAGGGTTAAAGAGGGGAAACGGCACGAGGGTGTAGGAACTCAGTGCCTTTGGGTACATCCTGCATTTTAAGAGTGCAAGGCAAATTACACTGAGCAGTCTTCCATGTGAGAGGGTCTAGGCCCCCCAGGCCCCCCTGTAGCTATTCCCTTGTTGTGTGTATATTTAGTCACAAAGATTCTCAAGGAAGTTCGATGACTAATTCATCCTTGGTCCCTGCACTAACTCATTAACATATAATCTGCTTACGGAATGGGCGAGTGGCTGCAAGTCCCTGCGGGGATCCGCAACCGAACCAATCACGAGGCTGCTAGCCATCCCCGGGAAACATACTCCAACAATAAACACTCATTACACATTACAGCGCTTTGCACACGCTGGAAAATACTGTGTCACAGCGCGTTATGTGTTCAGTGACGATGGCATCCTACTTTGCATATACGCCTACGCCAGCACGGCCCCACGGGAAGCCAGGCGGCGCTTCCCGGGTTACTCAGGGGCCTGCGTGCCGGAGCTGGGATGAATTATGCCGGACAGCAGTCCCAGGACGAGGTTTTATCGCTTCCAAAAGCTGCAGAAGCACTGCCGGACGCCGTGTGCCAGAAATTAACCCGAGTGCTGGAGTTCAGAACAAACACTCCGGAAAGTTTCATACCAGCTGGCAGGCAGGCCACGCGCTCAAGACGCCTAAAGCCCCAGGCTTGCATTTAGTTATATCGCACGAGTCAAAACGCCTGTCATCAAACAGCCATTTAAATGCTGACCGTTAAGTTGCGGAAGACATCAGATGTGGGCCCCTTCTGTTTTCTTGCCTGAAGCATTACTGCATTAAGAAACAGCAAAATCATCTGTCAGCTAGGAGAGCTGTGTAACAAGAAAACAGGAGAAAATTACTGCTCAAATTCCAGAACGCTGAAACTCCCAGGGAACACAGTGTAAATCTGACATGTTTTTCTCTTCAGTGTTATATTAAAGGTTTAACGTAAAATATAAAAATGGACATGACACAAAATATAGGGACACCTAACATCACACCTACAGGAGCTTTATGAGTCCCATTCTAAATCCATAGGCAGTAATATGGAGTTGGTCACCCTGTGCAGCTCTAACAGCTTCCACTCTTCTGGGAAGCTCCTACAAGATGTTGGAGAGTCTGTGGGATTTTCTGCCCATTCATCCAGAAGAGCATTTGTGAGGTCAGACACTGATGTTGGACGAGAGGGCCTGACTCACAATCTCCGTTCTAGTTCATCCCAAAGGTGTTGGATGGGGTTGAGGTCAGGGCTCTGTGAGGGCCAGTCAAGCTCTTCCACACCAAAATCACCCAGTCAGGCCTTTATGGAGCTGCTTTGTGCACTGGGGCTCAGTCATGCTGGAACAGGAAAGGCCAACCCCTGAAAAACAGCCCCATATCATCATCCCTCCCCCACCAAACTTTACAGCTGGCACAGTGCAGTCAGGCAGGTAACGTTCTCCTGGCATTCGCCAAACCCAGACTCGTCCATCAGACTGACAGATAGAGGAGCTGATTCATCACCCCACAGAATACGTGTCCACTGCTCCAGAGTCCAGTGGCGGCGCTTTACACTGTGCATTTTGATTAAGGCTTGTGTGTAGCTGCTTTGCCATGGAAACCCATTTCATGAAGCTCCTCATGCAAGGGGGTGGGGCGAAGTGTTAGAGCTACATCGCACTCCAAACGGAGTTTTTTTTAGAGACACGCACTAAAAAATCGTAAGCAAGATGGCTGCACAATCGGCAAAAAACCAACAAATGTCAGTATTTTTGCAGATAAAAAATGACGATAACCACTGTATTTATCTTGGGTTAATGTCATTTCAATGAATTATGGACCTTTTCTTCATAACAAGCATAATAAATGGCTAGTACTTTGCTGATGTCTTGGTAGCTAGCTAGTTAAATTTCCCATTACACCTTTAATGATGCAGCAGTTTTGATGGCTGAGGTGCCAAAATATAACTGCTGCACCATTTAAGGTGGAACGAGAAATTTTGGAACGGAAAAACTGAATTTCTTATTTAGAAAATTCGAACAAGAATCTGAAATTCTATTTAAAGAAGTTCCTCCTTTTGAGCCCTGGTTCCTCTCAGTGGTTCCTCATGTTCTTATGGAGTTTCTCCTTTTGAGTCTTGGTTCCTCTCAGTGGTTCTTCCTCATGCTCTTACTCATTAGGGAGCTGCACCCACATTTCTGGACAAGCTGCTTTGAGGCTGTACAAATGAAACCGAACTGCTGTGAAGTTAAAGTGCAGAGTGTCAGCTTTAAGTCAGTGTTAGTTTTCCTTGAGTCCTCCAGACAAACAAAGCAGGACTCCTAATATTAGATTTATTGAGCTGCCCTTTCTTCTTCGTCGATTAGCAGCTTTAATTTTAGAAACCTAAGCGCAGTTAGAGGTTTCAATTAAGGAACCTCAACCACGCTGTATGACATCGCTCACAGTAGGTTTCCACCGCGGTTCCCCGGCGACCTTCCTACCGCTGGTTATTGACGTTTCTTCTGTTTAACGCAACCCTCAGACTGCAGCAGCCGTGTATTAGCATTCACCCGACGCCTCTGTTCTGTGGAGTTCTCTCTACAGAGGGCTTGTTAGGAGCTCGGACGTCCGTCCACCTTACGAGACACGCCGAGACTCGTCAAGAACGGTCAGTGGAAAGGTTTCCCATCACATACCAATTACAGCGCAAGCCTCGTTCACATTACAGATACAAATGCTGTAGGAGTGGAGCCATACATCTCAATCTACAGTGCTCAGGGTTCTTTAGTAAAGAAAACAGTTCTATACAGAATCGTGAACACGGTGAAATGGTTGTTTAAATGGATGGAGAATGTGCTGTATATGATTCTATATACACCGATCAGGCATAACATTATGACCACCTCCTTGTTTCTACGCTCATTGTCCATTTTATCAGCTCCACTTACTATATAGGTGCACTTTGGAGTTCTACAGTTACAGACTGTAGTCCATCTGTTTCTCTGATACTTTGTTAGCCCCCTTTTACCCTGTTCTTCAGTGGTCAGGACCCCCATGGACCCTCACAGAGCAGGTACTATTTGGGTGGTGGATCATTCTCAGCGCTGCAGTAACACTGACGTGGTGGTGATGTGTTAGTGTGTGTTGCGCTGGTCTGAGTGAATCAGACACAGCAGTCCTGCTGGAGTTTTTAAACACCTCAGTGTCACTGCTGGACTGAGAATAGTCCACCAACCAAAAATATCCAGCCAACAGCGTCCTGTGGGCAGCGTCCTGTGACCACTGATGAAGGACTAGAGGATGACCAACACAAACTGTGCAGCAGCAGATGAGCTATCGTCTCTGACTTTACATCTACAAGGTGGACTGACAAAGTAGGAGTGTCTAATAGAGTGGACAGTGAGTGGACACAGTGTTTAAAAACTCCAGCGGCACTGCTGTGTCTGATCCCCTCGTACCAGCACAACACACACTAACACACCACCACCACGTCAGTGTTACTGCAGTGCTGAGAATGATCCACCACCCAAATAGTACCTGCTCTGTGAGGGTCCATGGGGGTCCTGACCACTGAAGAACAGGGTAAAAGGGGGCTAACAAAGTATCAGAGAAACAGATGGACTACAGTCTGTAACTGTAGAACTACAAAGTGCATCTATATAGTAAGTGGAGCTGATAAAATGGACAATGAGCGTAGAAATAAGGAGGTGGTCAGAATGTTATGCCTGATCGGTGTAATACGCCACTCGTTTTTAATGGAAGACAGTTCTGGACTGTAGGCAGGCCAGTCTGGCACCCGCACTCTCCGATTACGCAGCCATGCTGTTGTAACACAGGCAGAATGTGGTTTGACGTTGTCATATTAAAATAAGAAGCAAAATCTTCTTCCATTTCTCTTTCTAAAACTGAAAGTGCCATTTATCCCCATTTTTGGGCATATATTCAGTAGCTGCACCCCTAAACTAAGCAATCCTTGTGGATCTGATGCTACCAAGCTTTTTCCTTAAATGTACCTGATCTTCACGACCAGGTCTAACCAGCATTCGTTCATTCATTTACCACCTTTACAGACCTAAACTAACCCGAGAGGCCGTGACGGACGCCCAATAAGACCTCCAAAGTGACCACAGCTCGGACCAGATGACAAAGACTGGAATATCTTTAAGCTCCATCTGCACTGTTTCACCGTTCGCCATTCAGAGGGTCTTAAATCTCTCTCCTGAAGCTCCTTCGTCCACCCCATCTCTGGAGGGCAGCCGAATAAGAGGCAATCATGATGTTCGGCAACAAGCATTCGTCTTTGCCGCTGGACGTGCACGGACTGACGATTATATGGATTGATAGAGGGGTGTGAAGAAAGAAAAAGAAAATCAAGCGCCCACCTTGAGCTCCGCTCCTCTCCTCGCGAAGCCTCTTCACAGCAGCCAATCCCTGCTTTTCATCACGCGAGGCTGCGGAGAAAAGATGGAGAACGGAGTGAGACGGTTTTCATCTAACCACAACAGATCTGCACAATGAGGAAACGGAGAAATGGAAGCCGTGAGCATCGCCTTATTTATGAGCCTAGAATGGCTTAAAGGTGGTCTCCACCTTCAGTGTAAAGGTGGAGTGAAAATCAAAGCCAAGTTCAAAGTTAATGATGAGTTAACACTGACAATTACAGAGCTTCATTTGGCACATATTTTGACAGGTTATCTGTCATAAAAGGGATCAAAGAGCGCTGCTCCAGCCTAAAGGCAGCACTATACGTGCTATTTGCCATGTTTTGCCACGTCTCTCAGCCTCACCTGTTTAACAGAATTCACAATTTAATATTGTTTACATGTTCAGTTCTCTCACTACAACACCCAGCATGCATTAGCCCAGGGGTCGCAACCCAAATGTTAACCCATTTTGTCCTTTCAACAAAAATCAAACCACCTTGGGAGCCACATTTTACGTCCATTTTACCATCTGGGCTGTAAATACGTCTCAGTATGTGCTGATGTTCTAGTATAGACTAAAAAATATAATACAAACAAAAACGCAGACTTACTTTGCTCTGCTTTAAGCTTTAGCTCAGCTATAGCCGCTTTTCTCACATCTCCAGCAGGAAACTTTTCCACAAAAGTAGAACAGTTTCTTGTAAAATGTCTCTCAATGTTCGACTTTTTACGAGGCTGAAGTCGCTTCTCATTCACCAGCTTCTGGTTCGAATTTTCCCGTCCCACCTTAAATGGTGCCTGAGGCGCCAGAATGAAACTGCTGCACCATTTAAGGTGGAACGGGACAATTAGAACAAGAAACAGACGTCAGCTTTGCGACTTTTTAGTGTTTGACAGTTTCTAATTACAGATTAAATGTATCAGGAAACCAGCTGGAGTGATTATAAATAAGTCCATTCGTCTCCAAATTATCTATGTTCATCTTAAATCTCTCTCTTTGCTGTTTCGTTAGCTACTAGCTAGGTGAGACTGTTGTCTGTGTTGCTACGGTGACCAGCAGTCTGCATTGATCTTCAGGGTTAAAGGGTGAATTAGGTTTTAGTCTTTAAACCAGAAAATCTCGCTCTAGAGAAACTACTGCGGCACCACTGAAAGAGGCAAGTTTACAAGAGACATAGCGATGGTTAATTTTCTCATTTTGGTCTGAGTGCCCCTTTAAAGCTCTGCCTTCGCTTGTACTCGGCCCAAAAAGACTCGAGCTCCTAATCAGAGAGTTAGACGAAGAGCATCAACAGCCAAAGGCAGTAATTTGCCTAGTAATATTTTTGGCTTCTGGGAATTAAATATATAACCTAATTAACTAATCCTATTAATTATCCCACACATGAGGAGGAGGGAATCAGGATGGAGAACACAGTTTCTGGCTATAAAGCGTTCAGTCAGATACAAACGAGACTGAGGAGCTTATACTGGAAGAACTGCAAGAACAGTCCAACTTAAATGGAGGCATTTCAGAACATGTGAGAACATTTCAGAACCCTTCACAATCACAGCTCAGCCACGATTTAACTGGGAATCAGTTACAGGCTGTAGCCCATCTGCTGATGCAAAGTTTGTGTTAGCCATCTTCTAGCTCTTCGCCAGTGGTCAGTTTCTGCCCACAGAGCTGCTCTCAGCTGGATATTATTTGGGTGGTGTACCACTCTCAACCTAGCAGTGAAAAGGGTTTCTAATAAAGTGGCCAGTGAGTGGAAGTACAAGGTAGGTGTTTCTAATGAAGTGACCATTGAGTGGACATACAAGGTAGGTGTTTCTAATAAAGTGGCCAGTGAGTTGTAGTACAAGGTAGGTGTTTCTAATAAAGTGGCCAGTGTGTGGAAGTATAAGGTAGGTGTTTCTAATAAAGTGGCCAGTGAGTGGAAGTATAAAGGTGAGTGTTTCTAATAACATGGCCACTTAGTGAAAGTGCAAGATAGGTGTTTCTAATAAAGCGGCCAGTTAGTGGAAGCACAAGGTAAGTGTTTCCAATAAAGTGGCCAGTAAGTGGACATACAAGGTAGGTGTTTCCAATAAAGTGGCCAGTTAGTGGAAGCACAAGGTGGGTGTTTCTAATAAAGTGGCCAGTGAGTGGAAACACGAGGTAGGTGTTTCTCATAAAGTGGCCAGTAAGTGGATGCTGGTGTTTCTAAAAAGGGGCCAGTGACTGGACATACAAGGTTTGGGTTTCCAATAAAGTGGCCAATGAGTGGAAATACAGGGTAGGTGTTTCTAATAAAGTGGCCAGTTAGTGGAAGTATAAGGTAGGTGTTTCTAATAAAGTGGCCAGTTAGTGAAAGTACAAGGTAGGTGTTTCTAAAAAAGTGGCCATTGAGAGGAAGTACAAGGTAACTGTTTCTATTAAAGTGGCCAATGACTGGACATACAAGGTCAGTGTTTCCAATAAAGTGGCCAGTGGGTGTAAGAAGAAGGTAAGTGTTACTATTAGAGTGGCCAGTGATTGGACATACAAGGTCAGGGTTTCTAATAAAGCGGCCAGTGAGTGGACTATACATACACAGCACGCTGCCTGTGGAGTCAGTTAAAGTCACTGTTAGTCTAAGACTTACAGTTTGTGTAGAAAGCCTGTTGAAAGGGTTTAGAGCTGGTGTCTTTAATGTAAGACTGGGCTTAGCGACTGTGTGAAAAACCTGTCTGAGAGCTGATATTCCTGCGGAGCTGGAGAACGCCTGGAGGCCATAATGTGGAGAGTCAGCTTTCTATTTATGCCGCGATTTACGTAACACAAACACAGAGACATGCAGGTTTTCTCACGACACACAGGAAATTCAAACCGTCTGTGACAATAAAGTAAACAATTAAGACAACGTGCTTCCTCATCACACGTTCCTCTGGTTTTAGGGAGAGAATACATATTACTATGACAATAGGTGGGACATTTCTCACTGTCATGTCTCTTTCCTCAAATCAGAGCGGGCACGCGTCCAGCTGAGGCCCAACAGCAGGCATAATTAACAGAAATTACTTTAGCTCACACAGTGTGAGCTTCGGGCTGAAAAATCTATATAAACCAGCCAAAACAATTGGCCAATCTGGCTGTAAAGAAATTGGAAAGAGCCACAAAAATTCACAAACGATGCATCCTTAGTAACAATGATGTTTACCACGGCAACACTGCTAACTTTATCACTGATGAGTTGAAGCTAACCTAAATTTCTTCCACACTTTCTTTCAGTAGTGTCACAGAAGCGATGTGAGTCGTTCAGAGTGGTTTGGTGTGAAACGCTCTGTTCTAGATATACTTACCGAGTCAGAACTGTTCACAGTGGTGGTGATAGGAACCAGACGTCCACCTCTAAAAGCTCCCTCACAGAAAGTTACTACATGAAATGGTTCTGAGTTCACTGCCTGATGTCTGAGACACTGAGTTATAATAATTTTGAGAAGATTTTGGCCTGAAACATATTTTTTAAAGAACTTTTCATGGTGGAAGGACACATGCAGGGCACTGCGAGGCAAAATAATCTCCCCATTCTTCTCAGATTTTCCACTATTTTACCATCATTAACATTCCATATAAAAACTCAGAAGACAAATGTAGATCTTTCCTGCAAACTTCTGAACTGGAATCCTGTTAACCTGCCAATAACATGCAGTACAATAAAGCAATAAACCAATCGAGGGTGAGGGTGACAGTGATTTTCTCACGTTTAAGTGGTGTTGTTAGGCAAAGCTGATAGCAATGAACAATCCATTACTGCTTTCATAATGCAGCAACATCATATTATAACGTATTATAAAATACACTAATATTCCATTATTAGTGTCACTCATTATTAAGAAAAAGTGCAACAAACAATTCTTTTGCCAAACAATATACATTCATATGCACAATTTTGGGTGCCCTGGTCGAATGACATGTTAAAAAAGTGAACAAATTCTCAACAGAGAACTTGAAGAGGAATTTCACAAGACTTTACGATTGTTTTCCAACAGTTTTGAGAAGGTTATGTAAGGCAAAATACTCCTCAAAGGAAACATGTTTTTCAGATTTTCCACTATTTTACCATCATCAACATTACAAAGACTCGTGTAGGTTCACTGGTGAGTTTGGCTAGTAAGTAAGATGTCTATATTTGTGTTGTAGTCATGGCGACCCCTGGTTCCTATCACCACCACTGTAAAGAGATCTGAGTTGGTTAGTTCCTCTATAATGCATTAATTCTTTATACTTTTAATTTTTGTGAGGAATAGAGTTTATGTTTTTAACTTATCTTTACTTTTTAGTATTATATATATATATATTATCTCTTAAGTAAGAAGTAACAAACTGTAAAAACCTTGTTAAGTAATTAATAAGGTTAATTACTTGCTTGTTATTTCTCTTCTTGTTACTTCTTTTCTTTTCTTGAGTGCCCTGCTGTCCCTTCACTGCTGTAACACTGAGAATTTCCCGGTTGTGGGACTAATAAAGGATCATCTTATCTTTATCTTATCTTAATATGTGAAATCCAGAAAATAAAGAGTTACTGTGCTTTAAAATGTGTCGTCCTCTGTAAAAAGTGTGAGGACGTGTGAACTTCTTTTCACGTAGAACATCAACAAAACGTGCAATTTGGGGCGCTCAGACTTTTGCACACAACTAGTCCATTAATAGGGGAGCAGTGAGATCATTCTGAACAGCATGTTTTAATACCTTTCGCATTATTCAGAATTCAGCTGATATGTATGCACATCGACAGCTTGTGAAGAAATAAAAGAAAATATGAAGCTTATCCTCTAAAAAGTGTTTTCTAGGGATGCTGTGTTCCAGCGGGAGCTGCGGCGCCCCCTAGAGCCCCTCTCTTCCTGTCGCCAGTGGCCACAGCCATCGCGTGTGTGTGGCTCGCATTATGTCTGAAGCCGTGAATCATTATTCGCATCAGATTCCATCATTTCATCTCTGCTGCGGTCCGTGCATGCTCGCTCTTGCGCTGCGGTAATGAGAGCGGACCCCCGGGGCCGAGCTACATAACACACACTCAGATTCATCATTCTGCACGAACACAAAGGGAAGGGATAGCCAAGTGCAAACGTCATGAAACGTGAGCTGTGTGTGTGTGTGGGTGTGAGTGCTGGGTGTTAACTGTACCTATGATAACGTGCATCCCCAGGCCGGTCAGCTGCCTCGCTACCTCATAGCCCAGGCCCCTCGATCCCCCTGTAACGATGGCAACCTTCCCACACTGCACGGGCAAAACTGTGAAAGGCAAAGACAAGGAAGCTCAACCTGTTGCTTTTTCAGGAAAGCCTCATTCAGGGGCCGTATTACAGAAACTTCCTATCTTTTTGTCTTAAGATCAGGTCAAGATGAGATTTTTCACAAATTCGTATTACAGAAGCAAATCTGATCTAAATTTAGGAATCTTATCTAATCTTACAGCATATTTTCTTATCTCAAGTTAGGAAATCTTAACTTTCCCAATTGAAGTTGACAATCAACCGTCATGTCTGTTTCCTAGCAACTGACCATACACGTACAGCTGAAACGTAAACACGTAATCAAGCTAGTTAGCCAGACAGCTAACGTTAGCTACCGTTACAGAGGTAAAGAAAGTCAAATAAAACTAAAGCGTGATAAACTGAGAGTTAATAATATCGTCTCAGCGCTTTGTGCTGTTTATCAGTGTCGCCGTCTCCAGTTTCAGTCTCCATTTCCCAAATGCTTTAGCCGAGCGCGCTAACGCTATTCCTCCTAATAAACAGACACACGTTCAGCTCCGTCTCCTCATTATTCACCACCATCACTGTAATGTTTCATCATCAACATTAACACACGAAGGTGATCAGAGGGGCGGTGGAGATCGAGTCTGCAGCGTCTGAGGTTTTAAACACTGTTAGAAAAAACCTCACAAGTCAAAGCAGCGTTTTCAGTGGAGGTAAATGTAGCGTCGTTATGCTGGTTATAGTGAACTGGGCTGCCTGACACTGCATAAAACAATAGAAACAGACAGTTAAACTGAAGTTAAGACTCTGGGGTTTATCTTACAGTTAAGAAAATATTTAGGATATTTTGGCAGCTTAGGATGTTTCTGTAAATTCCGTTTTATCTGGAAATAAGATTATAGACTGAAGAACTGTTGTTCTGTAATGGCTTCTGTCCTAACTTCAGTCATCATGACAACAAAGCAGATAAGATATGATCTCAGACTCAGAATTTTCTGTAATATGGCCCCAGGGCAGCATTTATATAAGGTAGAGTTGCACCAATACCGATACTGTAGTAGTATTGGTGCCGATACTGGCACTTAAACGCAGTACTGGTATTGGTGATGGGGATACCGATACCTGTGACTGACACCACGAAGCAATTTCTGAACAGCTGAGCTGCTTCTTTCAGTAATCACTCGTCTGACGCTGTGATCACTCACAGTCTGAGTTAATGTTACTGAGAGAGCCGAAGGAAGGCCAGACTGTCGGCGTAGTGGTATTTAGCCTTGATTTAGCCTTTAGCATAGCAGGCCGCTAGCCGGGCCTGTGCATCCATTAGCCCTGCCTGCGGTGCGCCTCTGTCGGTCAGCTGTATCACACAGCAGCGGGGTCTCACGGCCCACCGCTTCAACCAGGCCAGAAAAAACACTGAAAGTCGCTGATATTGACAGCGAAACAACAGTGATATTTACTGAACTGACACTCTGAGATGCAGCACGAGTGAACAAGACTCGTGTGAGACAAACGAGTTGAGAAATTTGGATGTGAAACAACATTCAGCTCCATTTTTGAGCCAGAGAAGCTGCTTTGCGCTGATATATAAACACCACAGGTTTATCTGCTCGTTACTAAATATATATTAGTAAATGCTAAAAATACACTACATAAACAAAAATAAGTTTTCTTAAGCATCTAATAAATATAATCCAACAAGTAAAACCCATCTAGCCAAGCTGAGTGTTTTTATTTGTGACACAGAGCACAGATTTTACCAAAATAAAATCTTTTTTAAAATGTAATTGTATAAATATCATTACTTATAGGTGAGTTCGGTTAGACAGATTTAGTATTGTATCGGTACTCAGTATCAGCCCGACACTAAAGGATCAGGTATCGGTATCAGAAAGGAAAAAGTGGTATCGGTGCATCCCTAGCTAAAAGTGTACAATTCAGGCCTTAGCATTATTTCAGATGGGCGGACGCTCTGATGCTAGCCGCTAGCTTCTCATTACAGGCCTTTTGGGTACCATTAACATAATGAAAAGGCTTTAAGCCACTGTGAACGGGTTTGACCTCATTCCCGTTGCCTGAGCACAGGTCAGACACGCTCCCCTTTCTCATATCTGCCAAGTTAAGGCTCTCATTAGGACCAGATTTCATGAGGAGCTAGTGGACAAGAAAGCTAGCAACCAGCCAAGCTAGTTTAAAGGACAAGTCCACTAATCTTTCAGCATTTCTGCATAATTAAACGGTTAAGATGTAAACAGAATCAGAATTGTTCACTGTGGTGGTGATAGGAACCAGAGTTTAATGAGCCTGAAAGCTCCCTCACTGAAAGTTACTACATGAAATGGTTATAGATTCACTGCCTGATAACTGAGACACTGTATTACGAAAGTCCTGAGAAGGTTTTGTGTATATATTTAAATCCATTCATGGTGGAAGGATACATGCAGGGTGTCGTGAGGCAAAATAGTCCCTAAAGAAAACCTTTTTTTTTTCAGATTTTCCACTATTTTCCATCACCAATATTCTATATAAACAGTGCAGGTTCACTGGTGGTTCTGGATTATGAATAAAATGGCTAGATTTGTGCTGTAGTCATGGTGACCCCTGGTTCCTATCACCACCACTGTAAAGAAATCTGAGTCTCTACAATCAACCATTTCACACCAAACCACTCTGAATGACTTTACATCTCAACCATGGAATTATGCAGAAATTTCAGTGGAAAAATCACTGGAATTCCTCTTTAATTAACAAGTACTAAGACACTGAATGTCAAACCTCACAACTGAGTAAGATGGGCACCATTCAGAACCCAAACAGAGAAGAAAACAGCCTAACAGGTTTTCACCTTCTTCACAAAACTATGTAACTGAAAGTGGCTTCTTCACTGAATTTTCTGTTCCACCTTAAATGGTGCAGCAGTTACGTCCTGCACCGCCGATTTCTTAAGTGCTTCAGGAGTCAATCTTTGGGCGCTACTTATACCCAGACTTCTGTCTGAGTATGGGTTTAGCTCCTCTGCTACTGTCTGAGCATGAAATACACCGTCCAAAAAGGCTCTTACTTAAAGTGGAACTCCACCAATTTTTTCCAAAAATTCCACATAATTAAATGGCTGAGATGTAAACAAAGTCATTCAGAGTGGTTTGGTGTGAAACGCTCCGTTCTAGAGAAACTTACCGAGTCAGAATTGTTCACAGTGGTGGTGATAGGAACCAGACGTCCACCTTTAAAAGCTCCCTCACAGAAAGTTACTACAGTAAATGGTTATGAATTCACTGCCTGATGACTGAGACACTGTTTATGACAGTTTTGTGATAACGTTTTGTATTTTAATCTATTTTTTATAATCTGTTCATGGTGGAGGGATACATGCAGGGCGGTGTGAGGCAAGAACTCCCCACAGAAAACTTATTTTTCAGATTTATTACTATTTTACCATCATAAACATTCCATATTATGCACTCTGGTGGTTCTGGATAGTAGATAAAATGTCTATATTTGTGTTGTAGCCATGCAAACTCCTTGTTCCCATCACCACCACTGTACAGAGGAGTCTCTACAGTGAACCACTTCACATCAGACCACTCTGAATGACTCTTAACATCTGAAGGACTGATTCATTCAGAAATTCTGAAAAAAAATGGTGGAATTCCCCTTTGTGCTCCATTGAAATAACACTTTTCAGTGAGTCTAAAGGTAATGAATAAAGTTCAGGCCGCAGACCTGGTGAGGTAAAGGGTCTGCGAAAGAGCTGGTAGAGCAAAACCCTCAGTCCGACCACGTAGAGCTTCAAGGCGGAACCGATTTGGGCCAGAATCCACATGTTGCCTGCTTCTCTCCACACACTGTTGTCGGGCTGTTTTTTTCCCACCCATATTCCTACAAGCTCCGCCCTTCTGCGCCGTGATTGGCTCCCGCCTCTTGCATATTGGCCTGTAGTTCATACTCAAAAGGAGCAGGGCGTGCTAGAACTCGAGCCGCTTGTCAGTCTGAGAGCTTAACCAATCGTAGCGGCTGTAGGCGTGGCTAGTCTGTAAACGGGTGGAAAACGTAACCGCTCTGGCTCTGTCCACACGGGTGCTGCAGTGTTTTTCTTCCCCCAGTGTCAACGTGGAAACAACCGCTGATTGTGATGGTAGTTCCGCTCTGGCTTTGATGAACTTTGGAGAAAGAAAAAGAGGAAACGTCTTTAAAACTACAATAAAAAATACATAGCCTGCATTTTTGTTTCAGTCTTTCATGCTCAGTAATGTGTACAAAAACACATGAAGGCAGAGGAACTTCACAATCCATCCCAGCATCTGTCATCATAGGAGCTGAAGTTTGTCAGACTTCTTCTCTTTTTGGCAGGGGCGGACGAAGAACACAAACCATGTACTCGAGTTAAAGTAGAGATATAAATATTACTCCAGTGAAAGTAGAAGTTCCTCCCTTTAGACCTCCACTTGAGTAAAAGTACTAAAGTATTTGCCTTCAAATGTACTTAAGTATCAAAAGTAAAAGTACTGAAAGATTAATTATGACTCTGATGTCCTATTATCATTTTAATAACAAGACTTGCTTCATTAACTCATTTTAGGTGAAAATACTCCAGTGTCTCTCTTGGTAAACCAGTCTTTTAATAGAATGTCATTAATTAGTGACGCTGATGTCTATTAAAATTATCATAAGCACAAAACGCTGAAGGTGAACAGTTTCCATCAGGTAGAACTGAGTGGCTCTGAAATCACTTTTTACAAACAAGCAAAGTTTCAGTTTAAGATTTATTTGAACTTAGTTACAAGTTTAAGATTAATAAAAACTTTAAACTCAGATTCACAAATGAGTTTCCTTTACTAAACTCCATCTGTAGGTCTCTGTTCATAAACATAAACTAGCCAAAACTAATTTACTATAAAATGAAATGTGTTTGTATAAATTCAGAAAAAAGACACGTCAGTCTCAACTGCATATGAGTACATATTTCTATATTGTGGTCTGTTTACACAAAGTTAGGTTAGTTCATCATTTATGTTGAATAGACACTCCCAGAATTTTATGCTGCTGCGCTGATGTTGAACCGTGTGCTGCACTGGGTCGGTATGACCAACAGGTCAAAATAATCTCAAAACAAAGTGACCGCTGTGCCCTGATTGGTGTTCTTGCTTTGCGCTTCTTTCATTTTGACATGTTACGTTTTTATACACACATAAACCAAAAGGAACGACAGATTTCTCATAATGTAGTGGAGTAAAAAGTGAGATATCTGACTTTGAAATGTAGCGGAGTGAAAGTAAAAAGTCGCCCAAAATGAAAATACTTCAGTAAAGATACACAAAAAACTACTTAAGTACAGAAACGAAATACATTTACTTCATTACTGTCCACCACTGCCTTTTGGATCCTTTTGTTCTAAAACAAATGGGAAGAGTGATCAGAGTAAAGCAGTCCAGCAGCTGAACCAACACAGCAGAATGAAACTGAACTCTAAAAGAGGGGAATTAGGAGCTGTGGAAATGTGAGAGGACTAAAATGGAACTTCCTCTCCTAATAAACACACTTCACACTCTTTCTGCTTGTCAGTAAAGATGGAAACGCTTCAGATTTTGGTGCTAGTAAAAGTGATATAAGGTAAAAAAGAGGAAAATAGGCCCAGCATGGCTTCAAATGAAGAAAAAGGGCCATCACTCACTCCAAATCTTGGTGATTATGCGATTGACTTACTGTTTCAGGCGGCCTAGTCAAAATGTCAGGCTCCATTATTTACTAAATGGCCCATATATGTAATTAAATGAGTTCTTTCCTGATCTGCATAACCACAGTCTTTTAAATGACCAATTTGCCAGACTTGGCCTAGTCCTAAGCCCAGTTGTAAGGCCAGTCCTATGCTATGTGGACCTTTCTTTACTATGAAAACCATTTGGCAGCGAATGAGAAAGAGAGGATGCTTTCAGCTTCACACTGTCTGCTTCAGAAATCTACATACAACGGTGCTATGATTCATTTTGAAGCACTGGACCATCGTCTGACCCCAAATTACACACACAGAAATCGCATCATACGCTTCAGTGTGAGATTCGAACGGCTGTAGTGGTCACAGTTTATAATGACCAAGAGAGAAGGCCCAGTCCTCCCTGGGTCTGCAGCCCACACTGGCCTTCCACCAGGATTATGGTGTTATAAAACATTCGTACACATTATTTTGATCGTAAAAATGTCCTACATGAAAACTCACGTTTTGGGTCGTTGATTTTTAAGAACACTTTTTGTAACATTTAGTAAAAATTTCCTTACAGTCTGGCAGTATAAAAACACTCTGAGGCGTCCTCTGACTCTAAATGGGAGAAAAACTAATTATGTGGACCACCCGTTCAACCAATCAGGACAAGGAGGCGTATCCACGTGCCAGTCAGTTCTGTTGCTTGTCCACAGCTATTAGCAAGGAACTGAACCACTGAAAGGAGGGGCTGTATTTGTTTGGGGGCAGGACCTTGTAGGCAACACTGGGGGCAGGACTTGGAGGGGAACAATGAAGGGAGAGACTGTGTTTGTTTGGGGGCGGAGCTTTGGAGGGAACAATGACGGGAGGGATTGTATTTGTTTGGGGGCAGGACTTTGGAGGGAACACTAAAAGGAAGAACTGTGTTTGCTTAGGGACGGGACTTTGGAGGGAACACTGAAGGGAGAGGTTGTATTTGTTTGGGGGCGGAGCTATGGAGGGAACACTGAAGGGAGGGGCGGTATTTGTTTGGGGCGGAGCTATGGAGGGAACACTGAAGGGAGGGGCGGTATTTGTTTGGGGGTGGGGCTTTGGAGGGAACACTGAAAAGAAGGGCTGTATTTGTTTGGGGGTGGGGCTTTGGAGGGAACACTGAAGGGAGGGGCGGTATTTGTTTGGGGGTGGGGCTTTGGAGGGAACACTGAAGGGAGGGGTGGTATTTGTTTGGGGTGGGGCTTTGGAGGGACAACTGAAGGGAGGGGCGGTATTTGTTTGGGGGTGGGGCTTTGGAGGGAACACTAAAAAAAGAAGGGCTGTATTTGTTTGGGGGCGGAGCTTTGGAGGGAACACTGAAAGGAAGGGCTGTATATGTTTGGGGGTGGGGCTTTGGAGGGAACTCTGAAGAGAGGGCCTGTATTTGTTTGGGGGCGGAGCTTTGGAGGGAACTCTGAAGCTAGGGGCTGTATTTGTTTGGGGGCGGAGCTTTGGAGGGAACACTGAAAGGAGGGGCTGTATTTGTTTGGGGGTGGAGATTTGGAGGGAACTCTGAAGGGAGGGGCTATATTTGTTTGGGGTGGAGCTTTGGAGGGAACTCTGAAGGGAGGGGCTGTATTTGTTTGGGGGCAGAGCTTTGGAAGGAGCACTGAAGGAAAGGGCTATATTTGTTTGGGGGCGGAGCTTTGGAAGGAGCACTGAAGGGAAGGGCTGTATTTGTTTGGGGGCGGAGCTTTGGAAGGAGCACTGAAGGGAAGGGCTATATTTGTTTGGGGGCGGAGCTTTGGAGGGAACTCTGAAGGGAGGGCCTGTATTTGTTTTGGGGGCAGAGCTTTGGAGGGAACTCTGAAGGGAGGGGCTGTATTTGTTTGGGGGCGGAGCTTTGAAAGGAGCACTGAAGGGAAGGGCTATATTTGTTTGGGGGCGGAGCTTTGGAGGGAACTCTGAAGGGAGGGCCTGTATTTGTTTTGGGGCGGAGCTTTGGAGGGAACTCTGAAGGGAGGGGCTGTATTTGTTTGGGGGCGGGGCTTGAAAGGAAACAAATGTGATACGGATTAAAAGTTTAGATTCTGCACTTTTCCACTTTCTTGTTGTCTCAGTGAGCTACGAGTCGGTCATCAACACTGACACCATCGCTCGTGATAACTCTAAGGGTTACTGTTGACAGTGTCCTTCTGGTGTCATCATCCTGGTATCAGCCGTTCTGTCTCAACATCTTTTCCTTCGCTGTTCTTGAGAAGAGGATTATGATCGAGCCGTAAAGACAATCAGGTGTGCTTCCATTTAGCTACCACATCCACACAAACAGTCTGATTAGTTGTATCTCATTAGACGCTGCTGCTGAGTGCTTTTCGTTCACGGTGAGTGGAGTCCAAGTTATTATGCAACGGATCTTCATGCTGCATCAGATGTCTCGGAGCATCTGCATATTCATTCCTGCTTTTCAAGGGCGGCGCTGCCTCTGTTTGAGTTTGCGGAGGAATGAAAAGAGCCCCAGAACAAAAAGGCTGCTCTCTCTGAACACCCGGAGCAGAAATATTTATCCGCCCCGCCGGGAACTGTGAGCCATGGTGACGGCGGATAAGGAACATGATGAAAATACGCTCATACGACACATTATTTGTTCAGGAAAGGTGGCAAATGTGCTGTGGAAATCTGCTCTGAACTGCCCAACAGTTTTAAACAAGTTTGACCAACAGCCAAGGCATGTTTGGTTTCTAAAGTTTGTTTCTAGGACTACTAGGTCTTCAGAGAAGGCCTAATGATTTCTAGGAAATAAAAATACATGTCTGTATTTTTCAGTTTATTTTTATTTAATATAATCATTACGCTTGTTGTAATTAAACTCTGCAAATATTTTAGTAATACTCTTATTTCATTGCTACTTTTTGATTGTAAGCAAAAAGGGTTAAAATCGTCAAAAGCCCACTGGAAAATGATCCAATCAGGATTGTTTTCTCTCTTGTATCTAGGTAGATACAGCCAAATGAGCTCTACCGTTGGTTAGGACTTCAGGAGCTGAACTGAAGGCCTTGCGTATTAGATTAACTACCAACATAATTAGGAACTGAAAGGTGAATCGACCAATCACGTTTTGACCAATTTTGCGAGAAAAAAAACATCACTGTAGGCCTTCTCGAAGTTCTAGATACATCAATGACTGTGAGT